GGTGAGCAATTGTACTGTGCATCACTTGCTTTGTATATTATTATTATTAGGATTTTATTCTATTTCAATTATTAAACTGCTTTTATCTGAACCCACGAGTTTTCTCACTTTTACTCTTCCGATTCTCTCTCCCATCCCACTGGGGCGCAGGGGAGTGAGCGAGCGGCTGGGTGGTGCTCAGTTGCCGACTGAGATTAAACCATGACATTAGCCTACTCATGCTATCTGTGATGAGCTATCTGGCTCTTTGTATTTGGTGATCTTTTTTTTCGCAGCCTGTTTCTCAGTCTAGTTCAAGACCCGATTAAGCTTTCTTCTTTCTACAGCCTCAGAATTGCTAGCTGAAATGCTAATTAGCTGGAAGAGAGAAGATATTGCTGAACAGCGATGTGGGTGTAGAGAGGATTAGGTGGTCGTGGTAGAATCATTTTATTATCGAAGTAGCAGACACATTATGATGACTGTATTTAGTACTGACTTCTCTCTTATTCAGAGCACTGTCCAGATGTTAAGGTCAGGAGTATGTCTGCCTCCCAACCATCCTCCTCCTTCCTCCAGAGGTATTTAAATAAGGAAAGCGGAGAGAAGGCATGAAGAATTTCCCTAGTACAAGTCAAGCAGCAGAAACAGTCTGCTGTCCTGTCACTCAAAGACCACAAGTATTGCACAATGCCTGTGTAAATAGCATTTACTATTACTAGTAATATAAATGTATTTATATTACATTATATATATTACATTACTATTACTAGAAATAGCTCTTTCAGAGAAGACGTAGGGTGAAGACTATCATCAACTTTGCTCTCCAAACAGACCCCAGATCTGTTTAGCCTTCAAAAGAAGCATTGCAGACTTCTGAGGGAAGATGATTGAGAGGAAGAGATGGCACTGTGATTTTTATCTTTCTGGTGTGCACCATAGCTCTGAGGAAGGTCGTGACTTATTCAGTACCAGTTTTATAGCTTCAGAGTTGGTACACCTCTTTAGCTCTTCCAGCAGAGCCAATTTACTGTCCCCATGAATGTTAGAATTGCTTCCAGTGAAGACTGGTATTCCTGTTGTGAAAGAACAATCCTGTGATTTGAGCAGTTGATTTTATGCATGTTTAAAGTACGCAACAAAAATTAAATACACTATTAAAAATAGATTAGTGTTTTGTTTAGTCCTTCATACAATTACAAAACAGGTACAGAAATGTGTTAAATTAGAGTAATCAAAAGTTAATTAAATTTCTGAACAAAATAACAGATTCAGTGTGAAGGCTGTGTCAGGTACAATTACAGCGTGAGAAGCAGAAATCTGGCTCTACTGGAAGAAAAGGTAGCCAGATAAAGACACGCAATCTGCTTGCTTACCATGATTGCCTAAAGGAAATAAGAACATTATTAATCACAGTTTCTTTCTCCACAGGTGTCAGGCATGTTCATTTGCCTGTGACATTTAACTACTGTATTTTTTCCCTGCTTGGGTGTTTCCTGCACCAAACCTTTGCATGATTGACAGACATTAATGTTAAAAGGACTTGTGTGTCCCGCTCCAATGAAATCAACAGAGCAGTGGGAGTAGCCTACCTACATACCATAGAGTCTTATTGTAACACCTCATACTGGTTAGAAGCAATACAATTTTTTTCACAGAACTGAGCTAATCTGATAAGCTACAGGTTAGGAAAGCTAAAGCCCTGATAGAATTAAATCTGGCCAGGGATGTCAAGGGCAACAAGAAAAGATTCTATAGGTACATCGGGGACAGAAGGAAGACGAGAGAAAATGTGGGCCCTCTCTGGAACAAAACGGGAGACCTGGTTACCTGGGATATGGAGAAGGCAGAGTTACTTAATGACTTTTTTGCCTCTGTCTTCACCGGCAAGTGCTTGAGCCTCACCGCCCAAGCTGCAGAAGGCAAAGGCGGGGACTGGGAGAA